AACCATTTACAGAAAGACAAATATTCAGACTTGCATATCATTAGGTGAGTGGATTTAAGTAGGAAGTATCGCTCATCCTATAGAATCTTCCAAAACTTTCAATGAAAATAAACAGGCATACTCCTTTAACTGTTCGGCTGGTTTAAATGATTCATTTTGAACTACTGCTTCTGCTAGAATTCAAGACGCACTGTAAAAAAAAAGTATTTTACGAAACCAAAAAAAAGGCTTCATATGGAACTTCTTGATAAATGGGTAAAATGGTTTCGCACACAAGGTTCAATACGAAATCTTTATCGGAAAAAGTCTAAAAGGTTTCGCACAAAAGGTTCAGTATGAAAAATTCACAGGAAAAACCCAAAAAGGTTTCGTAGAAAAGGTTCCGTACGAAACCCTTCCAAAAGGTTTCACACAAATGGTTTCGTGCGAAACCTTCCGAGGTATATTCATCTAATGAGGTACCCCTGGAAATGATAATTCGCTATCAAGTTGAGCCTCTGTGCATAAGGTAGTTGTCAGTGAGATAAGAAAAATCCTTGAAGGATGCCTTTCATTAGCTCTTCTCTCGAAGATTATCCTCATGTTACTAGAATTATAGTTCACTGCTAACGAGGAACCCTATTTAGATGTGAATTTGATTTTGAGTTCGAGCCATCAGTGTCAGATAAATGTGAGGGAACCATGAGAAACTCCAAATGAAGGAGAGCTTATAAGTGTTCTCTTAAAAGTTATAGCCATTTTCTTCGAATTTTAAGCTATAATACCGTAGATATCAGTAAGTGGAATGAAACTATTTCTATTTAAGAAATTATGGATGAAGCGGTCTATTTATGAGGCGAATGTGGGTGTGAGTATTGTTATCTTTATTGTTCCACACCCATATCCACACCTACTCACACCCACCCACACCCACACCCACCCACACCCACCCACACCTACACCCACCCACCCACACCCACACCCACACCCAATTCGCTTTTTGGCTCCTAACAAGCATAAAAGAGGTGCCATGTACTAATTTACTTGTTGGTAAGGGCGACTCTCTTCTTTCATCTATTTTTTCTCTTTTTCAATCGTTTTGTTGAAAATTTCCAACAAAATGATTGCAAAAGTGAAAAAAATAGATGAAAGAAGAGAACCGCCCGTAGCAACAAATAAAGTAGTACATGGCTTCTTTTTTATGCTTGTTGGGGGACAACAAGCGGATTGGGAATAGGGCTCATTGACAGAACTCGATCGATATTTATTAGGGCTCTTATGTTGAATGATGATCGAGTTCCCGCAATTGGAGGGAAGTGATTCCAGGGACTCAATTGGTTCCGCAATGTTCAGCATCGCGGAATAGGATGACTGCTTCACCCACATCCACCCACATCAACATCTATACCCGCACCCACACTCTGGCTACATGTTTCTTCCAGGATTACGGTTTTCTGACCGAATTCTTGGTTCAAATCTAATGGTAAACTGTTCAAGATCTTGATAAAATCCTGTTTCCAACCTGTTAGAATCTTGAAATTCCGTGAGTACACGCTTCTTTCAGGATATACTGATTTTTTAAGCGATTATCAGTTCAAAAGATAGCGCTAAACCGTCAAGAATTCTTATGGAATCATGTTTGGAATCTTATCAGGATCGTGAAATTCCGTGGTTATATGCTTTCTTCAGGATTTTATCGTTTTCTTAGAAAAAACAGCGAGTACTTAGAGGGTCCTTGCCAGACCTGTCAATAATCAGAAACAGAAAGATCAAAGATTTTCTCTAGGGAATACTATCGGATTGGAACATAAGTTCTGCATTTTCTTTTTTGTGTTTTAGGCAAATTTGAGGCTATACATCTCGTGATTGGAAATGATAGAGGGTGTGGATGGGTGTGAGTGTGGAGGTGTGGGCGGGTGTGGGTGTGGGTGTGGGTGTGTGGTGTGGGTGTGGGGTGTGGGTGGGTGTGGCTGCGGGTGTGAGTGTGGATGTGGCTGTGGCTGTGGCTGTAGATGTGGGGTGTGGATGTGGATATGACGGAGGGTCTGGGTCGCTGTGAATATAGGTGTTGGTGCGGAAGAATGGATAGACTATCGACACGCACACGTACACCCACACCCACACCCACACTCACGCCACATCCACATTCATACACCCGCTCCACACACCCATCCCACACCCGCAGCCTGTGTGCATATGGATGCTTATGAACTTTGCCACGTATTCATCTCAAAACTTTTTCAACTATGCTTTATGTATCGGGAAACTTTCAAGCTTTCGAATATCTATAAATAAAAGGAGGAGAGCTGATAAGATCATTTTCCACCTCCAACGAAATCGACTACTTCCAATTGCTATCAACTTATGTTTGAACTCGGATCATATTTCAGAGGTATGTTTTGACAACTCGCAAAGTGTTTTTTGTGATCAGTGGTCCCTCCTAGAGATCTCGAAAATCTTTTTTTCGATATTGTAAATAAAATTTACTCTGTATTATAGAATCGAGTGCGGTGATAATAGTATTGTTTGATTCGATTGCGTGTGTGCTATTATCTGTATTCGTGCAAAAACATCTGATCAAGTAATTATTACGGCGCAGTGACTTTTGATTGAATTTCAATGGATACAAGTTTCTTATGTGAGTGGTCTGCTCCTAAAACAGTGCAAAATCTTTTGTGTACTCATATCTAACGTTAAGGGGCGTAAAACTGATACTAGAGCAATATGTGCATTGTTGAATAGAGACTTTACACCATACATATGCAACGGTACAAATCGATATTCATTTATTTCCACTATACTTGCTTCAAATCCAAGCCATTTTTGTCTCAAGGGGAGAGAGTATATAGCTCTATGAGCTTTTTATATGTTGTAGGGCATGGTAAGTTACATATAATCCTAAAGTTTTAGGAATTATCGACGTTTTAGAAAAAAGTAACATAATTTACAAAAATAATTTTCCACTGGAGTCTCAGCAGAATAAAAAGAAGTATTTTTCTAATCCTTTTGCACAACCTTCCGAAGAACCAGGGCATTCTAACGAAAATGTGTAGGAAAACAGTTGTAAAGGGTGTTCTGATACACGTGAATAAGCGTCACATCGATTCGAAGAAAAATAGAATAATGGGAATAACAATATAGAAATTGAAATATTAATAATCCATGCTTTAAAAATATTTTCACATTTTCTCCACGGAAGCCTATGGTGAAACTTCTTATTCTCCTGTATCAAAGTGTCCTCCATAACTTTTGTGCCAACATAGTTGCTCTCTCATGCCTCGTTTGGCCGAAAAGTGTGGCAAGGCTTCGATCCTAGTAACAGTGGGCGCCTTCCAGCTTCTTGCTCTTTCTCGAGACTTTGCTATGCGTTTTTATTCAAAACAGATGATAGTTTCTATAGGTTATCAGACATACCCTATCATCAAATCTACAGTATAAAGGACAGCTGCGACGCACCTCAATTTCTCAGTAGATATAGAGAAAAATACTAATAAGATTTCGATCGGGGATTACTCTATGAATAGAAATCAAGGCAATTTTTTTTATTTCAAGATATCAGTTTGAAAGATTAATCAAGTGTGTAAAACTGTAGATTTTATTATGAACTTGAATGAGAGTGATACAGCATAATGAAGCGAGGGTAAGAATAAAAACTTTGTATAGATAGCGTTATTTGTCTTTATTTCTGTTAATTTTTCAATCAGTCAATCATTTGTCTTTGATCATTTACGGCATTTATCATACTGCTGTTGTGCACGATCCTGTTCTAATTTTTCACCTTCGTGATCCCTTTGTTTTTCGCGTATATTACCTTGATGGTCATGATACAATCCATGAATTATTCCACGAGGACAGCTTTCCTCTTTGTATCCACCTTCCCATCCCATTTTTTTATCCAACCAGTCACTGACAGTTCGATGGCTGGGATCATTATTCAAAGTTGGCTTCTTTTTTTGATCAGACATCAGATCAATTTAATGTTAAGATTGCGCGACAATTTTTAGTAATGATGAAAGTTTTAATAGCAGCAAAATCAACTGGAGACTGAATAGAATAGGTGTATATATATATACATAATTACAAAAGTAAAGTGGCTTGGTTTTTTCCTTCTTCTATTTGCTTTAGTTAAAAAAAATAGTAAAAGTTGGAAATCTTCAACAAAAATCTTGAGGTTGTGGATGGAGCTATAGGTGTGCGAGTGAATGGGTTAATATAAAGGAAAAAGAAAACAGAGTAAAAAACAATAGAATCATCCTAGTTCTCAATCCTGAAAGGATGAGCATAGAAAAAAGAAATTGCTGATCCGTTTGTCCGAGGACAAACGTCAACCATTTAAGCGAGTATCAATGAGTCCTCAATTGCTGTCCTATGGGGTGGACATCTGTGTGAGTGTGGGTTGGTGTGAGTGGATGTGGGTGTGGGTCTGTGCATGATATTCTTCCTATACACCCACACCCACACGCCAAGATTTAGGGTTTTTTTATTGACGGAGTAAAAAGTGACTTGATTGTTTGAACTATTGTCTAAATCAACCCGTTCATTTTGTTAGCAAAGTTTTATTTCTATTATAAATTATTTTCTAACAAATAAGTTTTTTCTAATTTTCGCGCATTCCAAAATCAACTAAATCTATATAAATAAGAAAAAAAAATCTTTTTTCGCAGTGAGGGAAGAAACAAAAACAGCGGCTTAAAAACGCGTTCATAAACTTTAATGGAAAAAACTCGTAAAATGCGCACATGTTGACACGTTCAAAATGCGTTAAATTTTTGAATGAAGTTAAATGCGTTGGTACATTTTAACAAAAATAAAATCATAACAATGTACACTCTTTACGATTTTTTTTCATCAAAATTCCGACACGTTTTTGGGTGTTATTTTTCGATGTTTGTCTGACTGAGCTTACTCTATTTTCAAGTTCGACCATCTGCTAATATTCACACACTATGCTCTTTCACTTTCGTATAACTCACATTTATAAAACTATTTTTTTTCATTTTCATTTCTCTATTCTTTCAAACATGCGTTTCGCCATTGCTGCCGCTACCTGTATCGTCGCACTTGTTTTAAGTCTAACAACAGCATTCCCTACACATGATAGGGTGCGACGTGGACCGGTTCCTGATTTAAGTGGTTTAAGTGGTATATGTCTATTTCCACCTTGTAATGGACCATCATTTGTATTCCCGGAGATTGATTGGGAAGCTTTACATGCAAGCATCGCTCAATGGAATAAGGAACAGGAACAACTGTCATTACAAGAAGATGAATGAATAGCAATAACATTAATTTTTGCGAAAACGAAATTTTGGTACAGTTGTCTTTTTGTTTTTATTAAAGTTAATAAAAAATAAAAGAGAGAAAAGAATGTTCTTCTGTAGCGCAGAGATAAAGTTGGTTTTGGGTGTGAGTATGGATGGGTGTGAGATATGAGTGTAGGTGTGGATCTTGTTTTTATTGATATCCATACCCAAATTCATCAATATTTGCTAAGTCAATTAAACTTCCACGATAATAATTTCGACATATTGTAACTATAGTTTTTTTAGGTTCAATTGATTTAGGCGTATATTTTAATACATTTTTAAATAATTAAAAAAATAAAAATGAACTAGCTTCTTTCGAAAGATTTCATGCTGCTTTTTCTTTTTTATTATACATACTCAATGCAGCTGTATGTTTATCAAGTTCTTCACGAGATTTTCTTATACTATCTGTAAGTGTTTTTCATTCTTACATAAATAAATAAGACAAGCCAGTTGTTCTTTGCTAATATCGTCAATTATACCAGATGATGAAGAATAAAAAAAAATACTGAATCAATGTGTTTTAAATAGTTTCAATAAAACTCGTCGATGGTGAACCATCACTAACAAGAAAAATCTGATGAGTTATTGGTGTCACATAATCAATACATTATTTTTCCACGGTAAACATCTGTAACTATTATTGAGTTAGATGCTTCACAAAAAACTTTATATACAAATTAACTAATCTCAATAAATCGAATCGAAAACTACATGATCAATTTTAAGATTTATGTATGAATAAAGTTTGCTATATTGAAGATCTGATTAGTCCATTTCAGATTATGTAGACATAAACAATGGAGGTATGAGGCTTGGGTAGTATCAAACATGTATTTCTTATTCCAGCAGATTAATAGATTTATCCAATATACCGACATTTTAGTACAAACGTCAAAATTTTTCATCATCTTCAGTTATAAATAATAGCATTTTCATAGTAAAAAAGGATTAGAAAGCGTTTTCGAGAAAATATTGAGTATCGTATGATAAGATATTCAGTCCTACATAGCTAATGACTTGAAAATAGTACTCTTCATTTGTTACAAATGAAGAGGAACTCTAGGGTAAATTCGAGTTAAATGAACTATAAACTATCGAAAGTTTTCTTTATCTTAAGTGGCTAAACATATATGTCTAAGAAGGGTGTGGGTGTAATTCTTTTATTTCACCCACACCCCACACCCAACCTGAAGATAATCAGCGCTTGTTTTTCGAGCTATTTGTGCAACTATCTGAAGAAGTAGAATCTCCGATTTTATCGAGGAAAACTTAGACACGATTGCATATTTAGTGGTCGGCGAAAATAAATATCTGATCAGTAATTGAATGCGCTCAATCAAATATTATAGAACTTAATAATATGTTTTCATTCACCTTACTTTCAAAGTTCTTTGAAACTATCAATTTTCTTGCTCATTTGATAATGGTTTTGATCACAATGTTCGTAATTTCAAAAAATTGCTTGTTCTTTTCTCTCAAAATCAGTTCAATTTTAAATGCTTAGACTTGTCCACATGCACTGTTTAAACCACGACTTCGTCGTCGAAATCTTGTGGTTTTACTAATTTTTTCTGGCCTCCTTTAGTCAGTATTTGGCCTTTCAAACTCGAAGGACTCATCTTAGAAATCTCAAATTTTAACCTAAAATGGAGAGAACGATTTTCCATCGAATGACACATGAATAACTCTATTTGATTGTAAAGCCAAACTTTAACCAAGATCTCCAAACGGTATTTGGTACAGAGAAAAAGGTTATCTCTAAGTTTAACTTAGACTTTTACACAAACTTATCACGATAATGCGTTCTTGTATGCACTCATCCTTCGAATAGCTTCACAAAGAATTTCCCTGCAAGCGAAAGTCTTTTATGCCATTTTTTTGCTATAAGAAAATAGACAAAAGATTGTATTGAATGATTTTCACTCTTGGTCCACTTTTCTTTCACTCCTGTTTCAAGGACTAAGCCTTCAACCTTGATGACAGATTGTCTTTTTCACATGATATCATTATGGTGCACATTATCGTTTGGACTTAAGCTCTATCGTCTTTCTTTTTCTCTCCTCCTATCTCTTTTTTTTCGTTTTCATTGCTATATTCGTTTCTCTTTCATACTTGTTTTCCACATAAACGCTGCTTTGTTTTCTAACTGCACCATTTCTTTCCTCATGCTGTCGTATTTGCTGTTTATCACTGTCACTCTTAGCACTATTCAGAGTGGCATCAGTTATGATCAAGGCAAAGCCAGCTACTTGGATGCCGGCCAGTTGCACGTTATCAGCGGCTCAGTTAGCAATCAATCCAAACAAGACGTGTTATACTCGCTGTTGCTCGCTCAATTAGCCGCCAATGCGAAGGCTGATCGCACTTCCATCCGCACCTGGTATGAAAATTACGAACGTACTCTGCCTAATATCGCTTGGGTAGTAACTTCTTCCCAAACTTTCACACCATTCACTCCAACTACTGATCGTATCTCGCTCAAGTCAGCGATAACAACTTCGTTAGTAGGCCGGATCAGTACTGAGTTAGAGAACGTGCTGAGCCGTGCTTTTGACAAAATCCAACAGCTGGGCTCTGCCTCTGCAATCATCGAAGAATTCACCAAGGATGCAGGTGACAAAAATGTGTATAACATACAGGTGCAATTGGTAGATGAGATCAATGGGGATTTGACAGTACTTCAACTATATATGACACTCACTACTTCAGAGTCTGCTAGCAGCGATGTGTTTTTGTTGCACGAGTACGCCAAGAATGCAGTCACGATTCAACTGGCGTATGAGACTATTGTTCTCAACGTTGATCTGTATGCCAAAATTCGTCAGAGTATTATCGATAAGCTAGGACCAGATCGTATCAATCGTTACATTCATGCGCTCTTCGACGATGGATCCAAGTTTTAGCTAAGTGACAATCAGGATTTGACGTTAAAGCTTCGTAATTGCTTCTTTTGAATATCTTGAAGATGTTAAAGTAAGAGGGTGAGGGTGGGGTAAGGGTGAGTATAATAATATAAAATAAAGAGTTTAAAAATAAGCAATTGTGTTACTTGTCCACGGAAATACAAATGAATTCAAATAAATGCAATCACCTGGATATGTCTCAACAAGCATGAAAGACTCGTTAAGTAAAGATCATAAAATCAGAACAAAAATCAAACTTGCACCTTCCGATAATCGGTCAGGTTTTGTCGAATGTAAATGCTCTTGAAGAAATTATGATTTATTAATGATGAGTCATTTTTATACATATCTGCATCATTTTGTTTCATAATGTAAATGTAATGACTCGTTGTATTTTGTCGTTGGATAAGAGAACGTGGAGAAGTTTTTAATATATTGTTCAGTTATCGTAGAAAGATTTTATTCTTGCAGTTGACCGTTAGCATTATCCACGAAATACCACGAGGAAGTGGATTTCACTTGTTTCTCAAAGAACATTCATGGTTTCAATCGTTTCAAGAATTATCGATCACTATTTCGAGATTTCGCTAAGTTTCATGATGAAAAAGAGCGATTGTAATCGAGAATAAATCATGGCACAATGATGATGGGAAGTAATGAAGTTCTTTTTCTTGAAGACTATTGCTGTACGGAAATCAAGTTTTTTAAATTAAAGGTCTCGACAAAAAGATCATTTACTTCAGCTATATCTTTCAGTAGGAATATCATTTTGTTAAATGGAACTTTTTGATTCATGAATCTTTGAGATCTTACTTGTGTTTTCATTTCAAATAAATGCTCTCAGTTCAATGACTGATGAAAAATAACACCTTCATTTGATTGTCTAACTTTCATTTCATTCTGCAGAGGACTGTTTCTTTTCATACATACAAATAACATATTCTCTAGAAAATCTTTGATAAAAGAATGGCTGAAACTAATCACCGCTACGATCACTTGAATCACACAAGATTCAAATGGCAACTTCGATTAATTCCAGTTGGATATATTTATTTTATCTGTTAAGATAATAGGTTTATTACTTTTTTTCCATTTTGTGCTCTGGGCGACACTACGTGCTCGAAGTGTGATATGTGTTTTTTCATGGTTTTCGACCTTTCGGATGTGAGATTATTATAGGAAATAATCAAAAGTTAGCAAAATGCGTTGCGATTACGCTTATTGAATCTTATCAATTGCAAATGATTTAAAGATTGTTATATAAAATCTCTCCTATTACATTATAAATAAACATCAGAAAGTTAAACAAAACAGACCTTGCGAAATATAGTAATAAAAGGTATCGCATAAGAATCGTTGTTAATAATAATAGATGATAGAAGATAACAGAGAAAAACTATGGAGAAGGAAGTAAACAACTTTAGAAAATTAATCAGTTTCGTGGAAGACTTATTTGATTCTGAGAATTGATAACAAAGTTTACTTGGTAGGACGAGTAAAGCTATTACAATAACTAGGTATTTCGATGTTGCTGAAACTATCTTATCAAATGGCAAGTATTGATTAGAAGATCTATCGTAAAATAACAAATCAACAATACAATACGTAATCTACTATATAAAATAGCAGATAGCACCTCAAATGAAAGTATAAAGGAAAAGAGTAGAGTTTCAGAGCATCACACGAGAAATATTTGGAAGTTTATTATAATGGGTATGATGATTCTATGACATTCTCAATTTTAGAGATGCTTCTCTAAGATTCAAATTAAGATTGTCGCGATATTCTCAACTATTGAGATGTCTGTTGAGCTATGTGTGAAAAATTCGTGGTATCCTCAGTTGTCGAGATGTTTTCTAAACCCCACATTAAGATTTATGTGACACCCGTAGCAAGAAAGATGGCATCAGAGCTAGAGATCTTCAAAGTCACATTTTTTTAGTCCCGATCCAGATCCTAATTAAAATTTTTTCTGGTTCTGATGTTGATGGAAATTTTGTACTTATTCTGTTCTTGATCACAAAAATCTATCTGGCTGTCTAAAAACAAGCATGTTTTTTT